AGAAGGGTGGAGGAGGGAGGAGGGTGGAGGAGGGTGGAGAAGGGTGGAGGAGGGCGTGGCATGGAGGTGGTCGTGGTGTGTACTCTTAGAGGCCCGCAGGGAGGGCGCGGTCCGGAGGACCCGTGCTGGCGCCTCGGCCCCGCCGCCCGGGGCCGTGCCCTCGATACAAGCGGGCGCTTCCCAGCGCCGGGCGGCGTCGCGAGGGCTTACCAGCCTGGAATCAGCGAGCGAAGAACGGTGTAACATAAACTGTTTCGCTGTGGGGGGCGCCTGCCCCTGGGCGGCTGGAAAGTTTATACCCCTACGGTGCCACCGTAAGGGTATAAACTTTCCAGCCGCCCTTGGGAACAGGCGCCCCCGACAGCCGAAAAAACAGTTTAAATGTTTACACCGTTCTTCGACCGTAAGGAACATATCCCTATCCCCATGCTGGGGCACCAACTCCTCATCAGATGCCAATCTTAGGGATTCCCTGTTTTCTGAGCGGATTCCCTTAGATTGTCTATCGCCCCTGTGGCGTGCCACATCCTCTAGGGATAGGGATAGTCCCCGAGGTGGTAAAAAGGCCAGTGCGTGTCCATGGACGGCCCGAACGTCAAACTCGACGAAGGGACGGATCGGCACCAGTGGTGTCCGAAGGCCCCGCGCGGGACTCCTGGATCGGCGCTGGGCCCCCCTGTCGGGGGCGGACAGAACCCCCAACAGTGACACGTCGATTAGTGAATTGTCCGTTTTCGGTCCTCGAGAGGGCGCCGTGGCCGTTATTTTCCAGGCTCGCGCCCGCCAGATTTGGGCCTCAGGTCGTTTTCACTAGACCACGTTGTACTAAAGGGGGGTCTGTCCATCCCCGAGACCTCCTGGATCGGCGCTGGGCCCCCCCGGCGGCGCCTCTTGCGCCGCCCCTGAGGGCGCGCCGCGCGCCAGCGAGGGACGTCTGCCGCAGGTCCGGGAAGTTCGCGCGGCCCGTCGAACATGCGCTTGTGCTCATGAGGCCGTGTTCCCCTTCCTCCCATAGCAGCGTCGATTGCCAGAGGTCGTGACCGCTTCCCCGGGGCCTGGCGAGGACACCCAGAGGCCCAAAGTCAGGGCATCCCCCCCCCCGTCGTGCTTTTTGTTCACGGCGCGGGGGGGTCTGGGTGAGCTGGCCCGCCACGTCCACCCTTCGCTGATGCCCGCCCCCCTCGACAGACCCAGCATAGGTTCGGCCGCGCGCGGAGGGGGGTTAGGGTCGGGGGCGGCAAGGAGGGTGGTGATGACTAGGGGAGGGGTGGATATCATGGCGGGGGCCACGACATCTCCCCAGATCTCATGGCGCCTCTTCTTATCTCATTACGTCCCTGGCCCCCACACTGGGCCGCGCACATGCCGCCGGCCATGATTTGCGCCCCCCCCTCTTGGACGCCCCCCTCTTGGCCGCCCCCGATTAGGGGGACGGGCAAAGGTTTCTCCGAAGCACCACTACTTCATGGAAGGCGCGGGCCTCACCTGCAGACGTCAGGCCGGCGCGCCTGCTTAGAGGCAGCCTCTCCTTCGAGGAAGCCTTCCCCCCTCCCCTGCCCCTTTGTGCTCGCCGCCAACGACTTGGCATCGCTCGGCGAGGACCATCGAAGGGCATCCTGGATCCTCGTGCGACAAATCAGCGCACGAAGCCCAAAAGTGCGCGGGGGATGGACGTCCGAGCGATGGCAGGCCAGCAGTCGGCGGCGAGCGGCGGGGGGGGGGTGAGGAGGGGCGGGCCTTCTCGGAAGGCTCGGAAGCCCCCCCGGCCTTCTGGGAAGTTGTCCGAGCCTCCCCCGAAGACGCAGCGGCTCCTCCGAAGGCGCGGCGCCTGCCGAGAGGAGAAGCCCCGCCGCCCTCTGAGCAGGCACCCTCCTGCTGCCCCCCCCTCGCTCGCCGCCGACGCTGGGTGCACCCGTGGACCGGATGTGCCGCGGCGTCTCCTCCTTGCCCTCCTCGCCGTCCGACGAGCACGTGTCTGCTTGGATGTCATCTACCGCAGGTCCCCCTCGACGGCTCCGGGCCATTCGCGAGCATAGCTGCTTTGCGAGCAGTGGACCGCGCTTGCCCACATACAGTCGGGGCCCTGAAGAAGGAACCCTCTTCGTTGGGCAGGAGCTCCGCGTTCCTGAAGTGTTTCACAGCTTGCCTCAGGTTTTCCAGATGTTTCCGATAGGAAATGGAAGTTTCACGTATGGAAAAAAAAGGGGCCTCGTTCCTTATCTAGGGTTCCTTAGGTCAATACGACGACTGCACTTTGCGAGTCGTGGAGCGCGCTTGCCCAGACAGGTGCACCCGTGGACCTGTGCCGGCGCTTCGACCCCGAGCTCCGGCGCACCGTGCTGCTCGGAGCTGCCGCGGCGAGCGCGCGGGGCGGGGACGGCCAGCCCTCGGCGTCGGAGCTCTGCGGCCCCCTGGCCGCCAGGGAGCTGGAGCACCGCTTCGACGCCTTCTGCCGCGAGCGGGCGCCCAGGGGGCACAGGGCCTGCTTCCAAGTCGGGCCTGTCCCTCTACAGGAGGACAATTAAAAAACGATCAACTTCTGGGGACGATTTTTTGTCCTTCGTCCAAAAAAACTATGTTTGAGTATGTTTTGAATATGTTTTCTTTTTCTTGCAAAATTTCCCTGTAGGAGGATATGCCCGACCTGAGCCTACATCTTGGCTCGTCCACGCGCAGAGGAGGGTATCTTGTATCTTGTGGGAGAAATCCCGGGGATGCTTGTCCAAGGGGGGGGGGGGTTCGGGGAGGGCTGTCCGGATTCCCGCCAGGTGTTCCAAGGGATTGTCCGGGGCAAGCCGTCCTGTCATCTTTAAGCAGCGTGGGGTGTCCGCGTTGTCCGGGGGGTTGTCCCGGGGATTTTCTCGATCGGATTTGTTTCAAGAGCACCCGTTATTTCGGACGCGCGCAGGGGGGTACAGTAGGGGCCCGTCCACAAGAAATTGTCCACAAGAAATCCAACCCTGAGAACCCAGGACGTCCATTGCTTTTTGATGTGGGGACGCCACGCCCTTCATATCAAAACCGTCGAAACCCAAGAAACCCAGGACACCCTGGAGGCAAGCAGAGTGTTTCTTGGCATGGATCTCCACTGTCGGGGGAGGGGCGAAGGCTTTTCACAAGCACCCCTGCCTCTTGCAAGGCGTGTGCCTTATCTGCAGATGCGGGGCTGGCGCCTTCTCAGAGGCAGCCTCACTCTAAGCTCTCTGGTGCGCGCCGCCAGCACTTCTTGGCGGCGCCGCTGAACTTGGAGGGAGGGAGGGAGGGAGGGAGGGAGGCCTCGCCGGCTCTGGGAGGTCCTCTTGCCTTTTGGTGGGGGGTGCTCCAGCAGCCGCGCGCTCTGCCCAGAGCCTGCTGGGGGGGGGGGCGGATGGCCCCCAGCGGCCGTCGGAGGCCTAGAGGTTGACACCAACACCAAGATCGGCGGTGTGCCTCCACCGAGGGAAGACTATCCCGACATCGGTGATGGTGGTAATATTCTGGCTTCCAAGGTGACCAAAATATGACCACCAACACCGAAATCTAGGATCATCTTCCCCATGTGGAGGCAACCCCTTGTGCTGGTGTTGGTGCCGATTTCCAGGCCTCCAACAACGGCCGTCGGAGGCCTGAGGTACAGTGGGGGCCCATGCCAAGAAACACCCTGCTTGCCTCCAGGGTGCCCTGGGTTTCTCGGGTTTCGATGGTTTTGCGCTGGGAAGCGTGACGATCCCACGCCAAACATCAATGGACGACCTGGAGTCTCAGGGTTGGGTGTCGTATGGAAGGTTTCTTGTGGACTGAAGTCGGGCCTGTCCATCTGCAGGAGGAATATTCAAACAGTCCATCAATAGTCGGAGGGCGATTTTGCTTGTTTTTTCAATGATTTTTGGTGGTATGACTATTTCTTATGTTTCGTCCAACATCCGCCTGTAGGGGAACATGCCTGACCCAAACCGAGGCGCCCCTGGCAGGGCCCATTTCGATTGCTTCTGCCCAGCCCAGACATCCGGCCTGTCTGGCTGACTGAAGAAGCCGCCCCTAGACAGCGCATCGGCACCGGTATATGTAAAACGAAGGCCAAGAGAGATGTGGAACATGGGATTCTAAACGAGCGCGCCGGGATGCAGCCACTGCATGGACCAGTGCTGGGCGGCGGGTGGCATTACGCTCGGGAAGGAAGCATGCAGGAGAAGAGGGAAGGAGGAAGATACTGGATGGTGGCAAAACTCAGGACTCGCTGCTTTCCGCCTCCAGGGAGCCCTCGCGGGGCCCCGGGGCCCCGGGGCCGCTCAGGACGAAATGCCAGCCCTGGGGAACGTGTATGGATTTCCGGGGACCCCATCTGCCGCGAGCGGGTGCCCAGGGAGCATGGCCCATTTCGATTTGGTCGATCCGATCGAAGCGGGCCCAATCCGATTCGATTCCGAGATTCTGACGATCTGATGATCCGATGCGGCCCGATGTTCGCGTGGCGTTGTTGTGCATCCTGTCGCGGCCGATGTGCTTCGATTTTGACTCCGTGCCGATGCAGCTCGAAACGATGCACATTCCGTTCCGATCCGATTGCCATATGCGATGCTGATTGATCTTGGGGAATCGTTTTCCAGGTGCTCTGTGAGCCAGAGGGATAAAGAGATACTGATATCGCAGTCCTTGCCTCATTTTCGCCTTTCTGGGCTTCCCGGGAGGCCCTCGTCGCCACGGCTGGATTCGCTTCGAAATCCTGGTCAGAGCGCGCCCCAGGAGAGGTCCGATGAGTAGCGGTTTGGGTGCTTTTCTGTTCTCATCGATAGCGCCGTCGCCTTCAGATTCCCCCGTCCAGTCGCTTGCAAACGGCGTCACAAAGCGCCGCCCTTCTCCGTTACCCTTCCCCCTCCCCTCCTCCCCTTCCCCCCCGTCCCCTATCCCGTCCCCTGCCGCCCCCTTCTCCCATCCCCTCCCCTGTTTCCAACCCCTCTCCCCTCCCTCCAACATCTCCCCCTGTTTCCTCCCGCCCTCACTCCTACCCTTCCTCCCCTGTC